ACAGTCTTACATCATGGGAATATAGAGTTGCTGGCATGTCAAAAGGGTAAGTAGGACTTGGCTCCCAAATGTGTTGTTGAAATACCTCTTATAATTAGCTATCTGTAGCTGAAACAGGATTTGCTTCATCCTTTTTACTGAAAACAGTAAATTGCCATATTATATTTTAGAAGCATGCATGGTTTCTGATCACAAGGTCTGTGTTCATTTTTAATTTAGATCACCTTTTCAATGGTTTACAGCAACGGTTCTCAACCTTTTTTTAGACTCAAGGTTCCCCTTGTTAGACTCAAGGCATCCCTTGGGAAATGCCAGCTCTTAGTTTTTACTCGTCTTTGACTACAGAAACATAATAGAGCAATTCTTCTGTTGCAAAAACTCAGAAAGGCCACAACAAGTCAGAATGTTTTTTTCATTATGAATTCCTGTTTGAAATCACTAGGTTTAACTTGTGAATCATGCACACCTACAGTGCTAATATTGTGATGCACCCCATATCACCCTTGAAAGGATCTCAAGATACTCCAGGGTGCTTCAACACACTGGCTGAAAACTACTGGCTTAAGAATCAGTGATGGAGCCAAAATAGCATACCCTTTTTGGAGAGAAAACATTTCACATTTCTAAAGGAAACAGGCTGTTGAAACTGTGGAGGGTAAAAAAATGATATTAGCTACAATTCACAGATTATATAATTTGGGAAAACGCAGCATATTCTCTAACTTATTTCTCATTTAAAATCCCTAGTTGCCCATGATAGCAGTGTAGGTATTTCAATAAAAATATATGGGAAGTTTAAATAAGCCCTCATAGGAGCAATAGCCTCAGGTTAAATGTGAAATCTTTGTGAGGCTCTTTAGCATTATTTGATAGACTGAAAATAGACGTGTTGTTTGGCATTAAAACAAGACAGTGTTTTAATCTATATATTTCAAGACTTTTACATGCTCAGCAATGAAGTAGGTCATCTTGTATGTCAATTCATAATTCATGCTTTAGTTTTGAGGCCTATAACAATATAGCTCAAATTACATTGCATTATGACACATTAGATTTATAAGTGCACTTGCAGCTTTTCTATAAGGCTATTTTAGAAATGGGTTCAGTCTGGGAATCATATCTGCAATTTGTTACTTTTACACTATGCTATTCCTGTAAGCGTTAACTCACGTGGAGAATGAAAGTGTCTGACCTGACAAAACAGAAGCTTTGTAAAAGCATATAAAATCAGGATAAAATGATCAATGAAAAAAATGCCTTTGGTCCACAATTCAGCATTTCATCCGTAAGCAAAGCACTTAAGAATATGTTTAAGCCCTATTGGCTTCAATAACACTTACAGACACGTTTAAAATTTCTAAAAAGTGCTTAACTGCTTTGCTGACTTGGATCCTTTAGAAATGAATCCTTTCTCCATTTCTTGGACAGTGCCAGTTTTCAATTTGTGAGAATTGGCTGCCTCCAAGATAGGGTACAACACTCAATGTTGCCTTCCATATGTACACTGCAGGCAAAGCAACACATTTGATAGTAATCTCAATTAAGCGCTACTGGAAAGTGTGGGAAAGAGCTGAAGTCTACAGGGGAAGGACTGCTGCTTCACTCTGAAAGTTAAGGATTCATCAAAACACACCAGACAAGCTTAGAAGATCCAGGGATTTGCCAAAGATTTCCAGCAAAGCAGGTAAAATAATGTAGCCAGCAGTAACTAGGGCCTCTGTAATTATCATCAACTAGCAATTGGCCTTCAGGTGTTCTGAGGCACATTAAAGGAAAGTCTGGTAAAAGCAACCTGAAGAGGAAAGGGATTTATTTTACCCAGAACAAAAGTGTGTATACTTGGCTCCAATTCTATAACCAAACCAAACGAAAGACAATATACACACCAAATTTCTTTCCAATTACATTCAGTTCTATCCCAGGACACCTGATGAAGAGAACAGGTGACAGATATTTGACTCCAAAATATGTTTTCTTTCACCTTCCTTCTTTATAGCATTAGCTATAACACAGCATCAATAAAAATGATGTATGTATCAACATGTGGTAGATATATGCACACTTAGACAACTGATTACCTAATCTGCATGCACAAATGCTGCACATGCATAGAGTCAGAGGCAATATTTGAACACGTGTTTAACCATGATGATTCATTTTGACATGTGTATCACTCAAGTTTACTGTGTAGTATTTGTAGGATGAACTTATCTCCATTACCATGGTGTGCCAGCTGAAAAATAATGTTGCGTGGAGCACTCTAGACTTTTTTTTCTTTTCATAAACCTCGTGGCAATTTGCTAAGCCCCAGACCTTGATAAACTGGTGAAAGGCCTTTCAATCTAGCATGACTACACAATTAAGTCTGAATAGTACCATGACTCATGCTATTCTTTAATCTGTCTGAGAGCTACCGCACTGAACTAAAGCTGTCGTTGCTAATTCTGTAATAGACATCAATGATAGAATAAACAGAAGAAAGCTTACTTCAAAGACTAGTGTCTCATTAGTCGGCCCTGCCGCATATAGACTCTCTGGATGGTTAAAAGAGCGTTGATAATCAAAAGTTGTCCCAGCAAAAGAAAACTTTCCTGGCCAGTCAATTGTCCAGTCCCCTGTGAGATAATACTTCTTATTTAGGTTGCGCACTGCAAGGTAGCTGGTGGAGATTTGCATTTCCTGGATTTCAATACTACGTGCTCCGGCTGGAACAGTGACTACTGGATAATAGTCTAAAATTGAAAGAATAAAATAATATTTTTGTAGCAGTCATTAAAAAAAGGACCTTAATCTAACTAAACCTGGAATCTCAAAGGCATTACATAGAAAGCAGACTTGATCCACCAAAGTGGTTGCTCCAGTTTTAAGATGGCAGACTTTAAAGGATCTACACCTGCTTATGACTGGAGCAACCTAAGGATCAATCAGTTCTTGGATTTTTTTTTCTTTTTGACTTCAGACTGATAAAGTACAAGTTCTTTCATGTTAATACATATCAGAACAGTACTCCTGTATCTGAATTGTTCTCCCATGCCTTTTCAGTATTTCCTACACAAGTGGTAAAAGGTGGTGTTTAACGCACAACACCAGCATGCTTTGGGCATGAAATAAACCCAGGCACAAAGAGCTTGTCCTGAAGTCTTAAACGCTACTCGATCTCTCCTGGTGAAGAGATTTGCCTTGTCATCTAATATTTTCCCAACAAAGCATTTTAATTCTATATGTCTACAGCAGAGCTACTTGTGTGTCCTATACAACTAGGATTTGAGAGCCTCAAAATAGTTAAGTGTTTATCCTCACAATACCTTGGTGTGATAAGAAAATGCCATTATCTCCATTTTACAGCTGGACAGGTGGAGGCTCAGAGGGCATTCATCTGAAAGGGCACGTTCATTAATACACCATAGTTACTGAGCATTAAATTTAGTATTTGAGTAACCAAGTACTAAATCAATGCGCAGTAACTCGTGCTACTGCACAGTAGCACCAGCGCATGGGTTTTTAGTAATGCTAACTGTGCAGTAGCCTAACATTACTGCTCAGTAGTGTATTAGCACAGTTTTTGCCTGGCACGCTACTGCACAGTATTAGGCTACTGCACAGTTAGCGTCTTGTGTAGATAAGCCCAAAATAAATGACTGGCTTGAGGATCACACATTGTCTATGGCAGAGGAGGGAAGTGAAGCTGGGTCCCCCAAACCCCAGATCTATGGTCTAATCCCTGAGCCATTCATGCAAGTTCTAAAGGAGCTATCTCACCAAACGCACAAAAAATCCACGTGCTCATCATTAGCCAGTGATCATTTTTCACAATCCACTAAAGCTGGTTAGAGAGATACTTTTTCTCACCTGTGCCATCAAAGTCTTTCACGGTTGTTTTTATTTAAAAAAAAATCAAGCAAAAATCATTCAAACGGAAAAACAGGTGAGGAAAGTCTATTAAGAAATGGCAGGCATTCTTGCAACTTAGCTAACTAAGACTGATGTTCACAGTTTTTACTGTTACCAAGAAACAGGAGAAATATGAACTCTCCTCTCACTCTCTTGGTGAGTTTCAGTTCACATCTGGACCCTGAGCCCCTGCCTTAATGAGCAAATAGTTGTGCACATTGAACAGGGATAAAGTAGAGCAATGAGTTGATGATCACGTGGGAGCAGCTTTCCTTACCATTAGCTTTGTGTTGGATCAAGTATTGGCCTTTAAAAAACTTGCATGTTGAATTATCTCCTTTGCAAACTCCACAAGCATCCAATGCAGCTTTTGATCCAAGTCCATGATCACACCCAACTTGCTGTAACCAAAAGGCAGAAGTAAAGGGCTCAGGAATTTAAAGTAACAGCTGCATTTTGTATTAAGGACCCAGTCATTCACTTGAATAAAAAGAAATTAGGATCAAAGGAAATTGTCTTACTTCACAAACTCCATCAATGCAAACGTCATATGCGTTGGGGAAACATGGGGTTCCATCCTTCACTTTGCTGGACATTGCAAAGAAAAAATCAAAGTCTTCAGCTGTGCAGTACAGCTTACATCTATCTTCCTCTGAAAATATACAAAGACATTAGCAGATACATAGCAGGGTGCAGAGTATTGATGTTATTCCATCCTACATCAGCAGTGACAATAAAAACCACTATAACTGAGTGATTTATCATGTATTTGAAATACCAAAGGAGTAGAAATGCAGCCAAATACAGTAGCTCATACATTGCCATTTTTAACTCTCACATGAATTTGAAATTCACACAAGTATAATTAAAATCCAACAGCAGCCTAAAAACAGACATATGTCATTAGTTCTTCTGCTGACGTGGCCCCAAATTTCAGCACCTCTTGACCACCGTTTCAAGTTTCATTTTTTATTAAGAAAGATAAATTTGGGATTTGTAATATTTTCACTGATTTTTTTTTCTTAAAAAATGAAAATATGTAAGATAGCACAAATGATCATCTTAAGAGGAAGCTAGGACTAAAGCCAGCTTTCCCATTTAAAATATTTTTTTCCTAAATAGAGTTGCATTGGTATCTGTCAATCAACATTCTTCCTATACCTGCATCTTATATTATAACGTAAGGGGGACTTTACATGGGAGATTTCAGAACTCTTATTATTGTATTTTAATTTTTCAAAAAACAAGAGACTAGTTAGACTCCTAAATCTATATTTAGGCTTTTAAACAAGTATAGAATCATAAAAAATAGGGTTGGAAGGGACCTCAAGAGGTCATCTAGTTCAACCTCCTGATCAAACCAGGACCACCCCCAACTAGATCATCCCAAAAAACAACAAGGCTTGCTCTAGCTGGTTCTTGAAAACCTCCAAGGATAGAGATTCCACATCCTCTCTGGGTAACCTGTGGGTAACTGCTTTACTACTCTCCTTGTGAGAGAGTTTCTCCCAGTATCTACCCTAAACTTCCCATCATAGATTTCATAGATATTAGGGCTGGAAGGGACCTGGTGAGATCATCTAGTCCAGTCCCCTGCCCAAGGGCAGAAAGTCAGCTGGGGTCAAAGGACCCTAGCAAGATAATCGTCCAAGCACATTTTGAATGTGTCCAGAGTAGGTGCTTGCACCACTTCTGGGGGAGTCTATTCCAGACTCTGCATACTCAGACAGTAAAGAACAGGCCTGTGTGAAAAGGGAACTATTCAGTTTGAATCTTGATTCAGCCAATTCGGATGCCAGAGATTCAATTCGGAGATCCGAATCGTTTTTCTGAATTGATTCGGAAAAGATTTGGTGATTCAAAGATTTGGCCATAGAGTATAATGGGGAATTGATGAAATAGCTATAACTTTGTTGTTTTTTGCTGATTTGGATGAAACATGTGGGGGCCATAGCCTCTGCTGGGAGCATGATGCCTGCCAAGATTCAAGGTGATAGGTGCATGGGTTTCTGGGAAACTGCACCTCAAAGTCCTGAAAGCAAAACTCATGTCACGTGTGTGTATTAAGCCACAAAAGAGTGAAAACTGCAGAGGTGGTAGCTCTTGCTGAGGCCACAAAGCCTTCCAAGTGTCAAGGAGATAGGTGTAGGGGTG